TATTCCGAGGCAGGGCGCGGCGGGGCGTGTATGAAGGGAAGGAAAACCCTTAAAAACCCGGAAGGAAAATCGTACACCCGGCTCGGGGCAGCTTGTAAAATAGCCCCACCCTATGACGACCGATGAAATGGATACAGAAAACAAACAAGGTTACGGTAGCAGTCGGATTCGGATACGACAGCGCCCGGCGCGGGGGAGGTGGCGTCCTGGCCGCCCCCGTGTCGGCTCCAATGGAATCTCTATTGGGGGAATCATACGACAGGCGCGCAGACGGGTGCCCCGCAGGCCCGTCTGCGACTCGAATTGCGTCTGCGAGGCGTGAGGAGGATGGGGGGGGAGGAGTTCCCCTCCTCGGAAGAGAACCTCCACTCCTACCCCCCCATCGATGACGGGGAGGAGCCGCGCTCTCTGGAGTGGGAGGGCGACGGCTGGGAGGGGCGCGACCTGAATATACTGCTCATACCACCGGAGCAGTATACTCGGATCGTTTTTGTGGAGGAGGAGCAGACCTCCCCCGAGCCGGACTCGGATTTCCTCCGACTCCGGGGAGGCAATAGTGGCGACGACACACCACCGCCGCCGCCGCCGCCGCCACCCCCTCCCCCCGAGGATGCCGATCAACCGGGCACCTCGGGGGAGGGCAACACAGGGACGCCCACCCGCAGGCCGCGGCCCGGTCCGGCCTCCAGCAGGCCCGGGTCACGGCGCGGCTCCATCGCGTCTGGAGGTGGGGGAGTGCTGTCGAGGTCGTGCTCCACGGCCTCGATGGCATCGCTGGACGGAGAGGGCCGCAAACGTCCATACGAAACGATAGAGATCCTCTCGGGGGAGGAGGACGATAAGTCCAAACCGAAGAGGACGAGGGGTCGGCCCGCCTCACACCGAAAAGATCAGGCCAATGTGAGGACAGCGAGGCAGCTGGAGGAGGACCGCCGGGACAACATCACTCCCGGCGAGTCCCCCAAATCTATCTCGGCGAAGAGGGCGTCTGAGAGGGCTGCGGAATACGCCGAAGAACTGGAGCAGCAGCCCCTCGAGGCCATTGCGGCGGTGGCCACGCGGGAGTTGTCCCTGCTGGCGAGGTCCGTGGAGCGGTCGCGAAACATAAAGGGCGACATCGTGAGGGATCTGTGGGGAGTTTTTGCCAAGCTCTCCGCGGCCCTCATGGTGACCGTTAACAGAGCTAGCGACAATAACGCGGACGGAGGCTCCACGGACGACGTGGCCACCGGCCGCAAAAAGGAGAGAGCCCGGGCGGAGGAAGTGAAGTGGCTAAGATCCGAGAACGACCTCCTCCGCCGGGAGCTGGAGGCGCGGAGGATGGAGGGGCAGGATAAGAGATCCCCCCGCCACACCCCTCCCCCACCACGGGATCCGGTGCCGGCTGGGGCCGGAAACCGCCGGAGGAGTCTTGCCCCGAAGGAGCCCCCAACACCTGGGGCTACCTCCGGGGAGGACGGGGCGAGGTCCACGGTCAGGATCACGGAGGAGGACCTGAGGGCGCCGTACTTCAGGCCCCCTCTTCAGGGGGTTCGGAAGCAATTGAACCCCCTGGCGTACGACAGCGACCGGGCCTCGCTCGCAGACCGCGCGGCAATGGCCCCCCCCCAAAAGTAGGAAGGGGAGGAAGGGGCGAAGGCGCGCCGGCGGCGGCAGCGAAGACGAGGAGGAGGCGAGGTTCGAGAGGGTCCTCTCGAGACTACTCCCTCGCCTCCTCCGCGAGATGGGGGTGGTCCCCGTGCTGGGGAACCGGCGCCCGCGGGCTGCCGGGAACGGGGGCGAACACCAGC